ACAATAGGGGAAGAAGCAAGAATCGATTTCCCCAAAACAGAGACAAGTCCAGGGGAAGATCTAAGTCCAGATCAGGTAAAATCATTTGCTTATTGTAACAATAAGTCAGAAGCTAATGTGGTGCACGATGACAATAGGGGAAGAAGCAAGAATCGATTTCCCCAAAACAGAGACAAGTCCAGGGGAAGATCTAAGTCCAGATCAGGTAAAATCATTTGCCATTATTGTAACAAGCCGGGTCATATTCAAAAGTTTTGTAGAAAGATGAAAAGGGACAAGTCCAAGGAAAGAAAAGAAAAAGGTGAATCCTCCGAGCATCCATCAGAAGAGAGAAACACCACAGCCTTAGCATTTGGTGATGATTTGCTCTTCATTGGTGATTAAAGTTACTTAAACCTTGCTTGTGATGATTGCACTTGGGTGATTGATTCGGGTGCTTCATATCATCTTACCTCACACCAGGAGTACTTCTCATCTTACACTAGCGGAGATTATGGTAGTGTTAGAATGGGAAATGGTGGATCATCCAAGATCATTGGCATGGGTACTGTGTGCTTAGAGAGCTCCACTGGTTGCAAGTTGGTGTTGAGAGATGTTCGACATGTGCCCGACATCAGATTGAGTTTGATCTCCACTGGATTGCTCGATGATGATGGATACTCCAGTCACTTTGTTGATGGAAAATGGAAGCTCTGCAAAGGAAATCTAAGAGTGGCCCAAGCCAAGAAGCAAGGATCCCTTTATGTGATGCAAGCTAAAATTTGTAGAGGCGAGGCAAATGTAGCTGATGATTCTTCTAGCAACCTGTGGCATAAGAGACTTTGTCATATGAGCGAGAAAGGCATGCATTTGCTTTCTAAGAAGCAATATCTCCCTGATGTGTCAGGTATGTCCATTAAATCCTGTGTTGATTGTTTAGCTGGAAAGCAACATAGGATTGCATTTCATTCTCGCCTCCCATCTAGAAGAAAGTATCCTCTTGATCTTGTCCACACTGATGTTTGCTCTATGGATGCTAAATCCCATAGTGGTGCTCAATATTTTGTTTCTTTTATTGATGATTATTCTCGAAAAGTGTGGGTTTTTGTGTTGAAAACAAAAGATCAGGTACTTTCTGCATTCAAGGAGTTCCAGGCTAGAGTTGAAAGAGAAACAGGTCGGAAGCTCAAGGTTGTAAGATCTGATAATGGTGGAGAGTACAGAGGTCCATTTGAGAGCTACTGCAAAAGTCAAGGCATCAAGCTTGAGAAGACAGTTCCAAAGACACCTCAGCTAAATGGAGTTGCAGAGAGAATGAACAGAACAATTGAAGAAAGAATTCGATGCATGCTCTCTCATGCTAAATTGCCAAAGTCCTTTTGGGCAGAGGCATTGATCACTGCAGTATATTTGATCAACCTTTCTCCTTCAGTTCCTCTTGATGGTGATGTTCCTCAGAGAGTATGGACAGGGAAAGATGTCTCCTACAAGCACCTGAGAGTTTTTGGATGCAGAGCATTTGTGCATATTCCTAGAGATGAACGATCCAAGCTTGATAAGAAGACAAAGCAGTGCATTTTCTTAGGGTACTCAGAAGATAATTTTGGGTACAAGTTGTGGGATCCAGTTGACAGGAAGGTCATTCGAAGCAGAGATGTTGTATTCTTTGAAGATCAAACCATTGAAGATTTTGAGAAGCCAAAGCAACTAACATCCTCTCAAGCTCCTGTCATCATTGATCCTGTCTTTCCACAAGTCACCCCTAGAGTTGAAGGGGGAGAAGTGCAGCAAGATGGTGACAACAATGCTGATAATGGTGATAATGGTGATGATGAGCAACCTGAAAATGAGCCACATGTTGCAGAGCCACCACCACAACCTCAAGTAAGAAGATCCACCAGAGAAAGACAACCTTCCTCAAGGTACTCATCAAATGATTTTGTGTTATTATCTGATGGGGGAGAACCAGAATGCTACGATGAGGCTATGTCACATGAGCATAGCAAGGAATGGTACAATGCCATGCAAGAAGAGATGAATTCATTGCATGAGAACCACACCTATGATTTGGTGAAGTTGCCTCAAGGTAAGAAAGCACTCAAGAACAAGTGGGTGTACAAGTTGAAGACTGGAGAAGATGGAAAACCACCTAGATACAAGGCAAGAATAGTCGTGAAAGGCTATGAGCAGAAAAAGGGTGTTGATTTTGATGAGATTTTCTCTCCAGTTGTGAAGATGTCTTCAATACGAGTTGTTCTTGGATTGGCTGCCACCTTAGACTTGGAAGTTGAACAACTTGATGTGAAGACAGCATTCCTCCATGGTGATTTAGAGGAGGAAATATACATGGAGCAACCTGAAGGTTTCAAGGTCAAGGGAAAAGAGAAACTTGTGTGCCACTTGAAGAAAAGTTTGTATGGCTTGAAGCAAGCACCTCGACAATGGTACAAGAAATTCGAGTCATTCATGATTGATCATGGCTTCCACAAGACACATGCTGATCACTGTGTGTTTGTGAAGAATTTTGCCAAAGGTGATTTACTCATTCTCTTGTTGTATGTTGATGATATGTTGATTGTTGGTCGTGATACCAACAAGATTGTCAATTTGAAGCTTAGTTTGAACAAGTCCTTTGCAATGAAGGACCTTGGCCCTGCAAAACAAATTTTGGGCATGCACATTTCCCGTGATAGGAAAAACAAGAAGTTGTGGTTATCACAGGAAAGGTACATCGAGAAGGTGCTGCAAAGATTCAACATGAACAAGGCTAAACCTGTGTGCTCTCCACTTGCAGGAAACATGAATTTGAATTCAAGTCAATGTCCTGCAAGTGATGATGAAAGAAAAGAAATGAAAAATGTGCCTTATGCATCCGCCGTTGGAAGTTTGATGTACATAATGGTATGCACGAGACCGGATATAGCTCATGCTGTTGGGGTTGTTAGCAGGTTCATGTCTAATCCTGGAAAGGAGCATTGGGCAGCAGTGAAGTGGATTCTCAGGTATCTTAGAGGTACTTCTAGAGTGAGCTTATGTTTTGGCCCGGGACAACCTGTGTTGGATGGCTACACAGATGCAGATATGTCGGGTGATTTTGATTCTAGCAAGTCTACTTCTGGATACTTGATGACATTTGCAGGGGGAGCTGTATCATGGCAATCAAAACTGCAAAAGTGTGTTGCTCTTTCGACCACCGAGGCCGAGTATATGGCGGCCGTTGAAGCAGGTAAGGAGATAATATGGATGAGAGATTTTCTTGAGGAGTTAGGTTTGGAGCAAGAAAAATACCTACTCCACTGTGATAGTCAAAGTGCCATCCACCTTGCCAAGAATGCTACCTATCATTCACGGACCAAGCACATTCGGAGAAGATATCATTGGATTCGGGAAGCGATAGAAGAAAAGTCAATTGAGCTAGTGAAGATCCATACTAACAAAAATGGAGCGGATATGTTGACGAAGACCTTACCCAAGGAAAAGCTTGTTTCATGTCGTTTGAAAGCGGGGTTGGTCGAGCCCCCCAAGTAGGAGTGAGGGGGAGATTTGTTGGGTTATTCCCTCCTACTTGGAGGAAGAGCCCATTATTTTAATATGGGCCTATTTGCATTGTGTTGTTTTTTTTCATATGGGGTTACTTGTGTCTTGGGCCCATATATGTTATAATTTGTTATGACCCAACAAGGAGTTGTAAGGGACTGAGTTGAATAAAAAGGACCTGCTGGAAGCTTCTGGGAAAGTGCAGAAGACACACGAAAAAAAACAGAGAGCAAAAAGAGAGTTTGAGGCTGATTTTCTTCTTGGAGCAGCTCTAGTGTTGCCGCTTGATCGAGGGTCAAACGTGCTCTGATTGCAGCCAAATTTTGACACATTGTTCCTGTCATCCCAAGCTTCATATCCAACGGTTGGATTGTCATTTCAAGCTTCCAAAGTCGGTATTTTATTTTCAGCCCTAATCTTCATAAAATTAGTTGATTATCACTTGTGAGTGAAGTTTATGGAGATTTGTTGTTCCAAGGTTGTTCCTTGATGATTATATGTGCCTCTAGTATTATCTAGAGAAGACAATTGGTGTACCCACTTATTTTACTGGTGATTAGTGGAAGAGTTTGGTACCGGTCTCCGGTCCCGTGGTTTTCTCCCCTCATTGGGGTTTCCACGTAAATCCTGGTGTGCTTTATTTATCATTTCTGGGCTGTTAATACTTGCTTTGTTACTGTCCATATTTATCTGATTTAAGATTGGTTGAATTTTCCCATCTGACAACAAAATTGGGAAAGTGTGAATATTTTGCTTCTGCTTGCCATTGTGTATTCTGTGTGCACTTTCCTTAACAAGAAAGAACCATGAGTGCGCTCTTCCAGATAACTTATTTATGATCACTGACAACGAAAAGGCAATAAAAAAGAGAGGGGAAAAAAAACAACCACAAGGAGGAGTAACCTGATTCATCCACAAGGAACAAGATTAATGTAACCGAATAAGCTTAGATTTTAACTTTTGTGTGTCTATCACATAGAAAAGAAAAACAATCTTCCTCCATTATATCTACCAATAATCACACCAAGAACATTGACCATCTTGAAGTGATGGTGCCAGTTAACATCATTTATGATCTCCTGCTCTACAGTTATTTTGTGATTAACTTGATGGCACCATGGGAATCGTCACAAACCCTTAAATTACTCCAGATGCAATAGCTAACCTCTTAACTCTGAACCACAACCATCTTCCTCTTCTCATCTTCTGAGAAAAGAGGCAGGAATATCCTGAAAACCAAACTTCCTGAAATTCTGACAATCCTCAACAAGTAGACATTTTGTGTCATTTGAGCCCAAAGATATCTTCAGAACCAAGTGAGCAATTAGGACTCATTTTTTGATGTGATGAGAAAAATCATCATGCCAGCAGCATGTGCCAACTTAGGGCTGAAATCATGTTTTTTAGAAAATTATGTGCAGGTTTCATGCAAAGATAATCATATCATAAGAATATTCTTTTACTGATTCCAGTTGCAACGTCCCTAATTGAGAACCCTCATTTCAATCGTGCATCATCATCATCAGAGTGCCACCATGCTGCAACTAATGATCTTTGCCTCAAATACCTTTGCTTCCATCTATACAGCCTCTATGAGAATAATTGTGTCCTCTAACAAATATCTAGACTGTAAGAACATATTTTGTCACCAACTGAGCATTAGTTATATCTTACCAATAATCATGACAAGAACACTGACCATCTTTGAAGTGATGATACCGATTAACATCTCTTATGATGATCTCCCGCTCCACAATCTTTGACATGAACTTGATGGCACCATGACAATCTTCGCATACCCTTAAATTCTTCGTCACCAGAAGCTTCGTCCCTGGAGGTGTACTAATTATTCCAAAGGCAATAGCCAACCTCTCACTGTGCACCCTAACCATGTTCTTCTTCTCGTCATCATCTACATCATGGAAGACTGGCACAGTATCAACAACATAGCCTGCTTCTTCCATTAGCCCTTCCAATCTATCCAACTCTCGATATATTTCTTCTGAACAGGGATGAGATTGATCCCCAACAAGGAAAGCATAGACTTTGTTCTTGACCTCAATCCAACTACAAGCAATGTCCTTCTTCAATCCTCTCTCTGTCATCAACTTCCTCACCTTTGCTGCTCCTTCCCATTTTCCAACTTGTGCATAGATGTTCGATAGAAGCACATAATTCCCTGCATCATTTGGTTCCAGTTCAATCAACTTTTCCAATGCTACTTCTCCTAATTCAACATTTCGGTGAATTTTGCATGCATTGAGTAAAGCACCCCAAACCCCAGCATCTGGCCTCATTGGCATTCTTTGAATAAGTTCATATGCCTCCTCCAATTCACCTGAATGCCCTAGAAGATCAATCATACAAGTATAATGCTGAACAGTCGGCTCAATGGAGTAACTCGACACCAACAAATCAAATAACTTGCGACCCTCTTCTAGTAATCCGCCATTGCTGCAAGCCGATAACACCCCAACGAAGGTAATATGATCAGGAATAACCCGGCCTTCCTCTTTCATCTCATCAAACAAATCAAGTGCTTCATCAGCATGACCGTGCATAGCGAGCCCACAGATCATTGCATTCCAAGAAACAATCTTTTTCTCCGCCAACTTCTCAAAGACATCCCTCGCTGCTTTCACCCAGCCACTCTTTGCATACATATCAACGAGCGAAGTCTTCACATTATCATTGCCCCCAAAACCCCGTCGCCAGCTAAACCCGTGAATCTCCCTCCCTCTTTTCAAATTCGAAGAATCCGCCACTGCAGAGACCACAGTAACTAGCGTCGCGACCGTCGGCCTAAACCCATCACCCACCATTTCTCTAAACAAAACCAGTGCCTCCAAGGGACGGCCATTTTGTGAATAAGCCCCTATCATCGAATTCCAAACCACGACATCTCTACCCGAAACCCCATCAAACACTATCCTAGCATCATCCACACACCCACACTTCGCATACATGTCAATAAGCCCTGCACCCACAAACACATCCGAAACCCAACGGGTCCTAATCGCCATGTCATGAACCGCCCGACCCGTTTCGAGCGCCGACAACGCCGAGCAAGCCTTAAGGACAAACGGGAACGTGAAGTTATCAGGCACGAGCCCATAATCTATCAACCCATTATAAAGGTCTATTGCAGTTTGATACGGGCCGTGCCAGGCATAGGCCCGGATGAGGATGTTCCATACGAAGAGATTCCGTTTGGGAATTTTGTCGAACAGCTGCAGGGCGTAGTGGAGATTGTGGGTTGTTGAGTAGAGGTTAATGAGTTTGGTGCCGAGATGGGTATCGGAGCCGAAGCCAGAGAGGAGAAGGCGAGCATGGAGTTGTTTTATGGAGGAGGAAGAAGGGGGTTTGAGGGTGGTCAGGGATTGGAGGATGGAGGAGTAATGGTGGTAGAGGTTGGGATTGGATTGAGAGAGGGCTGAAGAGGAGAGAGAGGAACGAGGTAGAAGCAAATGGAGTAAGGTTGAAGTTTGAGGCGATATGGGTTTTGTTCTTTTGATTGAGAAGGACATTATTGTTTGAATTTGAATTAGGGAGGGAAATTTTATGGTTGATGCTCTACGGAGGAGGCAAATTGCAAGCAATGTGAATTGATATGTTTCATTTCTTCTCCTTTGAAGGGAAGCCCCTTAAATGTTTTTTTTTAAAGACCTCCTCCTTTCTTTTCCCCCAACCTGAAATCTTGAAACTCTGGGATGTCTTATATTAGCCCTCCAAAAATTTCAAAGTTTACCAACAGGACCCCTAACAATGTAGCCGCGTAACAACAATGTAGAAGTTGTGAGTTGATGAACATGAGCCTATAGAGGGTCCGTCCGTTTAGGGCCTGTTTGGTTATTTCCAAAAAAAAAAATCGGAAATGGAAAACTCATCCTTGAAATGATTTCAATACATTTCAAGCACATTTCTCAGATTTCTTTTTTTTTCGGTTTGTTTCGCAAAGAAAACTCCACATTTCAATGCCAAGGCACACAAACAGACAAAAAAAGCCTCCATAGTAACAGTGCCCAGTTTTCTATTTCTTTTGTTTGTTTGAGAACAAGAAATAGGAAATGAGAAATGGGGGTATTAAATATTATGTTTTATTATTCTGCACTATTCCAACAGTGCTTTTACTAATTAATAATTCTTAGATGGGACATTTCCAAGTGTTTTCAGCCCAATTTGGTGTGAAAACACATTTCTTGAAAGTTTGAGGTGGCAGCCTACGTGGCGGTTCATTTCTCAAAAATTAAAAACGAAACAAACATGAGAAATAGAAATCTCTTGAAAACAAAATCCCATGTGGCACTTGTTCATTTCTTAAAAGTTGAGGTGGCAAGAGATTTTCGGATTTTTTTTGGCAAACGAACAATTAGGAGAAATTGAAACTTGTGGAAGTTATGTGGGACACCCCAACGTATAGAATAATTCTATAGAAAAGAGAGCTTAAGGGAAATTTTGAAACTTGTGGAAGTTATGGGGCTGTTTGGTTATTTCCTAAAAAACCAAAAAATAGAAATGCAAACTAAGAAAACTCAAAAAGTACAATTTCACACATTTCCATCCCTAAAACTCACCCACAATATCTAATAAAATATTATTTTTATCCAACAACTCATCCATCACATCTAATAAAATATTATTTTCATCCAACAACTCATCAATCACATCCATCACATCTAATAAAATATTATTTTCATCCACAACATCACTCAACTCATCTCATCTCATATTTAAAAATTACTCACATCATCCAATAAGATTGTGACAACTTATCTCATCTCATTAACATTTTATTTCTTTGTTTTCCTCCCAAAAAGCTAGGAAAACAATTTCCTTAAGTGTGGGTCACATCATCCAATAATATAATGACAACTCATCTCATCTCATATATTTTCTTATTTTTAAGAAATAACCAAGCAAAAAAAAAAACAACCTATTACAAGAAATAGGTTTCTTATAATTTATTTTATTATTTTTTTCGTCAACCAAACAACATCAAAACAAGTTTTCTTAAAAAAATCACTCACATCATCCTATAATAAGGTGACAACTCATGTTCATTTCTTTGATTTCCTTTTTTTTAGCAAACCAAACACTCCCAAAACAATTCTTTGATTTAATAGTTTTCCATTTCTTTGATTTTCAATTTTTTTTAGGCAAACAAACAGGCCCTATGTGACACGCCCAAAGTGTAAAATAGTTCTATGGGAAGGAGAGTTTAAGGGTGACTCGTGGTAAACCCCCTAAAGTTCGAGAAGGAGTATATAGCGGTGACGGTCTATTACATTAAATGTGCATTCAAAGAATGTCAATCATTTGAACTTCGAATTCTAAAATCCGACAATTCGAGGGTTAATATTTTTTTGATACATATTTAATATCATAGATCAGAATGCACTTAATACCTTGTACCAAAACTTAAAAAGATTTTGTGAAATTTATCTTTCATATCTCGACACTCTACTAAGCACTAAAGCTTACATAACAAGAGGCTCATGACCTTTGATTCAAGTTCGGTTTGGGTAAATAAATAAATGAACAAAAACAAGCTAACGTAACGAGAGACATTTCTGCGAGCATCACCAAGTCTATACATAGCTCATAATATAAAGTCCTCCTAAGCTTTGCAACTGATGATAATAATTTACAAGAAAAGCCCTCATATATTTTATGTCATGCAGTAAAGAAATAGTAAAACTTATAGTATAATTGCATTCCTCAATAATCACTTGTCAGGGAGTTGACTCATAGGTTTGAATTGAGAAAGAATTTTTACAATAAATTGCTTTGTGTTATGCTTACAACCCAGATTTTATAATTGGGTTAGCCAGACCACTTCACGGTGACATCTGACTCAGTGAAACAGGTACGCACTTTTTAACTCCTTAAAGTGCGAGACATCTCGACTCAAACATATAACCCATTCACGACCTATAAATCTGACCCGAAAGCCCAAGCATAATGATATAGGTCCTGATAACAAATCTCAACAAGTCGGTTACCACACATTATCTCAATCTCGGATATTTTCTCTACTGGTCCGACCTAATTAGAGATTATTGATTCGAATCGTATCTAATCCTCAACAATACCGTGTTAGGAGATATCAATGAAATAACTAATCTCTCTAATTGCCAACTTTCATAATTGGTCAATCTACACATACATCAGCTATATCATCCTATGATAATGAGGTATTATCACGTGCTAACACTTGTCACCCAAGTAAATACATTGCAAGCCAAGTATATACCGCAACAGCCTAGACCGTCAAAATGGTGCCACGTGTAGAGGCTGATCTACCCTAGGCAATTAGTATAAATATGCCTCCTGTCTAAGGTAAAGCCTGTTGCGCGCCGTGCGGAAGCGTGCTCGACAACCAAACGAGTCGATGAGCAACGAGAGAAGAAAACCAAAACCAAACACGAGTGCAATTCACAAAATAACGACCAAAATCACACACAAACACATGAATTTACGTGGTTCGGTAATTGCCTACGTCCACGGGGAGAGGATGGGGAGATTTCACTATATGGAGGAGAAATACAACGGGTTACAACTCACAAAATCACTCAAATATAACCCTAACCAAAGCTCTCAACTCCCTCACAATATCTCCCTCTCAAAGTGCTCAAAACAATGCTAATTCTCTCCTTTAGAAACCCTAAAAAACGTGGTTCTATTTATAACAAAACTCAATCCCAAATAGATTAGGATTCTAAAAACGAGTCTGCCACACCCTGGTGTGGCACACACCACACCTATGACAAACGGGGCAGATTCTGCCACACCAGGGTGTGGCAGACACCACACCCATGGCAAACGGGGCAAATTCTGCCACACCAGGGTGTGGTGGAGTCTGTTTTGCTTATTTTTCACGTTTTTCTTAATTCCTTCGTCGTTTTCACAATTCTCCATCTCGGCGAAGTGTTCTCAACACTGAGCTGACACCAACATAAGCACCAATACGTCGTCTCTCCAAACTCGGCTGCACCAATGTGGTTGCCTACGTACCCCCTCTCTCAAGGGATCAAGCCGCCCGTAGTTCATCCAAATGGCCGTCAACGGCCTCAACAATCACGAATATGCAACAAGTTTCGACAATGATCAAACTTGTTACTCGAAACCACTTTAGTGAGCATATCCACCGGATTATCCTTCGTGTGGACTTTCACAATCTCCACATCGCCATCTTCAAGAACATCCCGAACAAAGTGATAACAAACGTTAATGTGCTTCGTCCTCACATAAAAAACCCGATTCTTCGCCAAATAGATAGCACTCATGCTATCATAATGAATGGTGACGGACCGCTACGATATACCAAGTTCCTCTAAAAGTCCTCGAAGCCAAATAGCCTCCTTTACAGCCTTTATAACCGTCATATACTCTGCCTCCGTCGTAGACAAAGTCACCGTAGACTGTAAGGTGCATCTCGAACACACTGACGCACGGGTCAAAGTAAACACATACCTTGTGTAGGCATCGAAAATTGCCTATAGGTCTCCGCGAACAGCTCAGTGTTAAGGAACGACAATGAACATCACTATCTGGTTCACAGGAGTTCGACTGATGTCGGTGAACGCTTGAAGTGAACCGACGAACTACGTGTGTAGGCATCGAAAATTGCCTATAGGTCTCTATGAACAGCTCAGTGTTAAGGAATGACGATGAACGTCACTATCCGGTTCACAAGAGTTCGATTGACGTTGGTGAACGTTTGAAGTGAATCGACTAACTACGTGAGCTGACAGAATTCCGGAATAACGAAGGTGCGGGCTAATCGGGAGCCCCGCAATGTTTACAAAGGGAACAATGCGCTTCGTGTCTCATTCATTCTACAGATAATCCAACCATTGGAGCTGATAGAACTCCTTGTCGGCTTTCCAACGCATTTGGAATCACTCAAATCCGGGTTCAGACGAAGAAGTTACAGCGAAAACGGTCAAACGGGCATTGAAAACGTCTCAGAGCTGAACCGAGGCACCTACGGTGTCTCGGCCAAGTCAAGACACCCCAAGGGTGTCTCGGCCAGGCCGAGACACCCCTAGGGTGTCTCGGTGCGGATTTGACCCCTTTAAGTGGTTTTAACCGCTCCGCAACCCCTCATGCCTATAAATACAAGCCTTAGGCCTCATTTTTTCAGATCTGGAATTTTTGAGAATTGGCGAAGCCCTGCCGGAGTGAAGAGTGATCGAGCACTTCAACGCAAGAGAGTTTCTTCGTCAGATCTATATCACCCGTACCCGATCCTTAGTATTATCCCGTTGTGGTAATACTAAGAAGAGCAAATATCTCGCTTTTATCGAGATAGGCGCTTCAAGGTTCTAGATCTCCTCGCGGATCGACGAAGCTCTAGATCAGATCTGATTGCTAGGTAGTCCACGGATATCGACGTCCCCGTCACAGGCTAAAGACCCACGCAAGCAAGAGACGACGAACGAATCTTGTGTTTATTTTCAAGAAAGTTATAATTTTTATTTCTTTGTTGTTTGAATCCATTTGTAACATTTGAAGTTTAATGAAATCAATGATGAATGCAACTTTCGACGAAAACAAACTGGCGACCACAGTGGGAGCCAACGGCCTCGCTGCCGAGGCCGTCGTGACGCAACCGGCCTTCAAGATCCGGGTGAACGAAGAGATCGAATACGAGTTTGATCAACAGAAGT